TCCCATACGATAATTGACGAAATGAAACCAATCGATTGCCCTCCGACCTAGTCATTCCCAAAACACTGAATGTATTATTTTACCAAATGATCGTGTCGAATGCGTTCGTCATATTAAACAACGTGACGAGTGCGTTTCATCTTGTCACAATAAAACGAGTGCATTGAGATGATTGAAAGACATGGCATACGATAATTGAAGGAATGAAACCAACCCATTGCTCTCCGACCATTTCTAGAACGTTACAAACGTATTTTTACCGGGTGACATGCGAAAAAAAGTTGAACGTTTTAACTTTGTTTTCTTCTATATATTTCTGTCTATTTTACTATGAGATCTTCAAAAAATTGTCGAACGATTTTCTCTAACAATCTACGAAGATATTTGGCGGCGAAAATCCTCGAAAAAAATTTAAACAATTTTCTGTCGCTTTTTACGAAATCAACTACAAAACAAATTACAAGCAAATTGCAACAAAATATGCGAAATATTTCACCTCATCTGCAAAATGCAACCGAACGATTTTTCCTCGTTATCTGCGAAAAATCTTCGGATTTCACCTCGTTATCTACGAAATAATACTGAACAGTTTCACTCCGTTGTCACTGGAAATAATAAACTTGTACTTCATCTACGTAAATTACGATTTTACCCAGTAAAGAAAATTGCAAGGTTGTTTCACTTCAAAAACCCCAGAGGAAAATTTTAACGATTTTCACTCGCTATATAGGGAAAAGTTTCAAAGCATTTTTAACAAACTCCACAATCCGTGCAAGGGGTAATTCACCTTGCTATCTACAACAAAATTGCCAAATAATTTCCCCTCGCTATCTGCGAAACTGAAACCTTGTCATTTCCTCACAAAATCCCTGAGCTAAAATTGCTGACTTTATTATGAAGTCTTCGAGAAAAAATCGGATCAATTTTCTCTGGTTATTTACGGAAAATATTTCGAAGCATTTTTTGAAGCATTGTTGAATGTTTCATTGCGTTATGCACAAAATAGTTACGACTCTACAAAAAATTGAAAAGCGAGGTAATTTCGCTATGAAATCCCCAAAAAGCTTGGTAAACGATTCTACCTTACCTGCAAAAATCGTTGAACAAATTGCTTTCTTACCTACAAAAAGTGGTTAAATGATTTCATTGGTCTATCTTCAAAATGCCAAGCGAGTTCACTTCGTTATCTACGAAAAATAAATTGCCACGAAATCCTCAATATTTGCGAAATGATTTCACGTAGTCTTCTCTGAAAAATAAATAAATCGATTGTCTTTAAGCCAAATTTGGGAGGTACACGAAAAATGCAATCCTCGTGAAAATCTCCTGAAACAATTTCACTTTTCGCAAATAAATTGTGAAGCTAAAACGTTCATCTTCAAAAACAGTTGCTCAAAGGTTTTGTGCTACTTTCTTGGGAAAAATCTCGTAGGGATATTCCACACCGTCATCTTAGAAAAACTGTTGAACTGATGAATCTGGCTGTATGCTCAAGTAGAAGTAGCCTAGTGTTCTAATGTATACAGTGAGGCCTACTTAAGAAAATTAAAGGATTATACATTTAGTTAGGGCATAGCTTGACCTTTCTGTGAAGCGATGTAGGCTACTTTCATGTTCTTTTGGTAAATTTGCAAAAATGTGTACTTACTTGGCCGAGTAATGTTTTTCTTTTTGAGACAATGCTTTTCTTTTCATCTCGACAGCTGGACAACGATGAGTCATGACTTCCTCGCTACCTGTGTCGTGCTTGGTGGTTGATGGTAAATCGCAGATATTGAGTACTAATCAGGCCAGAAATGGCCAAGTGTTTTTCTTTTCATCTCCACAGCTAGACGGGTCAGCCAGATAAGAAGGGCCTCGCCACCTGTATGTCTTGTTTAGAGAGGGGCAGCTTATTCTGTCAAGATGGACATGTCTTGGATGACGACAAGTGACCAGAAGCTGGAAGAACTGGCCGGAAACACTTTGCTCCGCTTGATTTGCTTGCCAGTTAAAACCTGAAGGTTAGTTGATAAAAATGAAAGATTGGGTGATATTTTTCATCTTAAAATCACAACTCGGAATTTTTTTCATTTGAAGCCCCAAATCTTGCAGGTCTTTAATGCAGGTGAGTATGGGTGAATTTGCTTATTTCAGATGCTAATCTCCATTGTTTATATTTTCTTGAATGCACAGTTCGGGATTTCACCTCCAAGATTGTGTCCATCTCATCAGCCGGGTGTGGATCACTACAGTCGTCGCAGATTTCCACCTACTAAACCTCCTAAATGGCTAGCTCCCGGCAGAATTTCCAGACCACCAAGGTATGTCTGAATTCAAGCTTTCAGAGTACGGGTTCTCTTTGTCTGTTAGGAAGTGGAAGATATTTTACAAACTATATTTGTTGGCTGTTGGATGCGTCTTTCATGCCTAATGTCAGTCTTAATTTTGGTCAACAATTTGTTTCCTTTCTACTGACCTTGCAATGAGTACATTCTCAATGCTTTGAGAACGACTGTCAAATATTTCTAAGTCTTATGCCAAGTCTCCAGCTAATATCCTCTTGGGATTGCAGCTTCAATTTGACCGTTACTTTATTGCAAGATCTCTGACCTCCCCGAATGGAAATGAACTCGGGCAGTGTCCAAAAGTTTTCTCAAAACTTGACCGCATAACACATTCAAACTTAACGGGTCACTATTTGTAGAGAAGATTAAAGCCAAATCTGTCAAGTCCTTTTTTGATCGTCCCCTGTGTTGTTTGAGTTTCTTAGTCTGGGACTTTAAAATCATTTCTAAATCTCTTTCTATGTAGGTTCTTGAGGGACTACGGAGAGGGATGACACCGGTGACTGAACGCCGACGTTTCCCCCATTAACCTAGGCCCACCTCAATGGCTCTGCTAACCACGGAAGTTTGGGCATGGACATTTTATATGCTTACAGCACCAGCGCTGAAGTTCTGTGCTAGCTGGGTAAGCAGAGGCGAGTATCCTTAGTTCCATGCTAACCAGTGGTATTTTCTCCATCGGTAAGCAGTGCCATTGAATTGGGCCCAGGTCCTCATAACACGCTCAGACAGTGGCTCCACGTGGAAAGGACCGACACTGGTTTAGTTTTTAGTTTTAGCAAGTTAAATACCAAGGCCAAAAATGTTTCTAAACCAGTTTGTTTCAAACCCTTGTTAGCTTTTTGAGTCCGACAAATGCATAGTGCGAAGCTGTGTACTGAAGACATGAGAAAATGTTCCCTTTCAGTTCCGACTTACAAATTCTTAAGTCGTACAACAGGTGCGAGGACGAGTCAGGAACGTTGAACTCATGGTGTTCACAGTACAGCTTCGTAGTATCGCTCCTTACTCTGCTGACACAAATACAGTTGAACGTTTATAGGGTCATTATGAGGGGACCTATTTCTAAAAATTACAATACATCACGTAAGGTTTAAAGAATTAAAACTCTGGAACGTATAGAGGACAACTTTTCGATTATGTTCACTCTTTTGGAGCTAGGTTTGTGTCTGATAAAGAGTTTTTTCACTCGGCCTATATAATGAAAATTCCCCTTTGAAGAGTAACTTAACTTGAATTCTTTTTAAGGGAGATGAGGAACATTGACGAGAGGTTTTCGACTTTTGTTACATTCAGAGAGTATTCAAGATATTTCTTTAATTTTACACTATTTATTCTATTAAGTATCCAGCAAGAAATGAGACCGAGGGGTGGCTCTTATATGTCCAGTTGCTATACACACTCTAGACTATTGTTACCTAGCACATCCCCCCTCAGATGTCTGAAAAGAATTCCTGAGATTCAAGTGAAACAATTGGTCGTTGTTCATTTATTTCCACAGTTTTGCATGAACACAATCTAAATTTTCAAAAACTACAATGACCAACACAAAGCAAGGGGGGGTTCGCTCCGTCTCATTTCTTGCTTCATAATGATTAAGTACCAAGAAGCTACTTAAAGGATCATTATTTGTTTTCAGTGTTTCAAAAAGTTTTTAAAAATCCTTGCCCAAAATTACACATTGATACTGCTACAGTTCAGCAAGGGGCACTGTTCACGAAATCACTTCTTGGCTTAGTGGTTTTTCTGCTTTTAGCCCATCCCGTGATTCACATGCACGATTAGACTGAGAACGCCATGAATTACCAAGCTCAAATGATGTACCCAGTGTAAACTTACGAAAAAAAATGGCAAAATAGGTAAATTTCAAAAGGCCATGATGACCTTTGTCATTAGTTCACGGGCGTCGCCAGAAGGTCGGGTGTTCATAGAAGGTGTCGCCCCTTTATGCCAGTTTTGTCAAAATCGTGGTTCCGGGTTTCCGACAAGAATGGATAAGGAAAGCGGGAGGGGACATCAGGCTACGGGTTACACCTTCGAACTAAACCGAGGGTTAGTTGGCAATTTGAATGATAGCACCCCCCCCTTCAAAAGGGTCTAGCGACGCCCGTTTGCCATTGGCAGAAATTACGCTTTGCCTAAAACTCTCGAAACCATTAGTTAACTAGTTAAATTAAAACCATTAATTGTTAAAACTTTTAATGGCCATTAAAAAGCCGATTTTTAGCACTGCATTGTAAGGTGTAAATACCTGTACGGACTTGAATTTGCAATAAACAAAAGAAATGAACGAGGTATAAAATCACGTAGAGAGTGACTTTGTCTGTCTTGATAAGGGATTGCCATTTCTTTGTCAAATAAAATCATGAAAGTGCGATCAATTCATAACGAAATGAGTTAGTAATTGATAAGGCACCTGTTGAATTTTCCTGGTCGTGGATGATATTGTATAAATATTGCTCTACAAAGAAATGTAGATGTTTGGTGGCATCTCATTTTCTTTCATTCGGTTACATTATTAAATTTCAAAAAGCCACGTTAGATTGAGCTGGAAAAACTGGGAGGACTGTCAGCTAGTTGCCAGAAATAAGTGGACTGAGCAAGAATCTCGAGCTCTTTAATTAACAACGGCGCCAATCACGTAACTAACGATTGCAAGGACGGATCCAGAACCATTTTTCACGGGGGCCAAAATCGCAGGGCGCCAAAATATTTTGGAATTTTTTAGTTGAACTTTAATCAGTGGCATTCCTGATGATGGGTCAGGGCTACATTCGGGGAGGGGGCTTGCTGCGCGCTTTTAGAAGAAAGGGAAATGAAATAATTCTAAAAAGGTTCGTCTTTTATTAAGAAAAATTTGGGCCCTGCTGGCCGCCATGGATTCGCCCTCAGGCGGTACCCCCACCACCGTCGCTCACCGCCATCCCTGGAGGTTGAGCCTCAGCACCGGCTGGTCGAGGAAAGAGCTACTTCAACGGTTTCCGAGCGAACAGAGAACGCAAGATAATGATGCTTCAAACAGATGGACAATTCAGAGGTTGAAGAGCACCTTTAAGTGAATTTTCCTCTGGCAAATACTTTTGGGCAACTTTATAATCATAAGGCTTCAATTTATCAAAAACTTTGGCATCGCTTTGGATTACTGAAAATTAAGAAGTGCACTCCTTTCCAATGTTTTTGCTCGCGAAAAGTACGGGAGCTCTTGGTATGTCATTTTAGGAAGAAGTTCCGGTTCGGTTTTTAAGGTACTTTGGGCGCATATTTTTCAATCTAGCGTTTGTGACGATGAGTCGCTCACTGTGGTGCATTTTCCTGCCAATAATAACAAAGGTTATTCAATATTCTGGCAATTAATTTTGCCGAGAAATATATTATGTATGTGATAGCTATTTTTTTTCCCAGAATGGCATCACAGTTTTGTTCATGAATATTTTGAGCATTAATACATTAGTAAAGTATCCTTTAAAAACGAGAAAAAAAAATTTAGAAAGAAACTGAAATGGAACCAAGGACCGATCCAGAACTTTTTGGGGAGTGCAAATTATATAATTTCAAGGTTGGGGCACAATTTGTGACGGTATCAATTGTTAGATGGGTTCCGTAAAAATGAAGTTGTTTCTTCCGGGGTTCTATATTGACACTGTTGTTCTTCTTGCAAGGCTGAATACAGAGATTTGTGTTATTTTTACAGAGTAAAATAATGACCTACTCTACAGGTCATGAGAGGTGGTAAAAGGTTTGGATGTAACAAGGACAGTGTCACAAATTGTGCCCCAACCTCAAGGAATGACCTCTTTGGTGGGGACTGCGGGTATACCCTCCCTTGTCCACTCTTGAACGGGACAATAGCTTTCAGGAACACTATAACTACATCGAGCAAGGCCCTCTGACAGCTCCAGCAACCGTCGGTGGATGAAAGAACTCACACCCTCGTGAAGTCTGCCTTGCCCTGGTGTGAGCGACATTCCCTGTACTCCGGGGGAGGGGTGCGAAAATTGAGATGAGAATCATCTAGCATTTTCAAGTGACGTCCCACAAGAAGTTGTGCCCAAACAAACGAGCGGGGAGAACTAAGTACTGAGGATTTCTGTCTTTAAAGGTATCAAAAATTGGGAGCAAAGGAAGACCCAGGAGAAATAAGGTTTCCCCCCCCCAAAAAAAACGCCCCCAAAACGACAAAATGGACATTGGGGACGCCGAGCATGGCAGCACCATGGGCAACTGTCGGTATTAGTGTATAATATCTAGAAGCCAAGAGTTTGCAACGCGTTGACCAATCACAGTGCGCAAAATCTGTCGACCCTTTCCAAACGCGCATTTGGTCGACAGATTTCGAGCATATAGATTGGTCAACGCGTTACAAACTCTTGGAGGCGCACTATTGTGAATCGCCCGTATTCAAACGCTAATTGAAAAGAGTGCAAAAAAAGTCAACATTGTGCCGGGGAATCATGCACCCATCAATAACATGCATACCAGCATCTCTGGGGTTTCTGAAACAAAACCAAATCTTTGTCATGTCCCTTATCTTATACTTTCTTTTCAGTTTCGGTGGGTCAATTACATTTTTAATTATTCACACAAAACAAAATCACCCCGAAAGAGATTATTTCCGAAGTCTGCATGTAGCCATTTTTAAAGTGGCATCCCTCTACTTTTTTGGGCACTTATTTAGGACAGTTTTTCAACGGTAAATATTTATCCACGCTGCTCTCAGATGGAAGCCCAAAGAACTAGGGAGTTGATCCTGACAAAGTTTTACACAATCTCACAATTTGGGGGCCAAATAATCTCCTTTTCAAAAGAAACTGTCGGGAAACTTTTCATGCTAATGAGCTGGCTAGAAATTCTCACTTGACTGTGGACGGCACCCACAATTGAAGATCTGTCAGTACCCCGGGCCGTTTTCCAATGCTCAACTTCGTCTCCGTCGCATGCTTCGTTCCCCAAACCAATCCCCGATTGTAGGCCTGAAGCGTTAAAATTGCATTAGATTACTGTAATTTTTGGCTTTCTTGCATCTTTAATTTGATGTTCAGTGGCACTATTAGACTGATTACTGCGCTTACAGGTTCAAAGTCAGCAAGTAAAAAACAGTTGAAGCCTCAGACGCAGCCGAAGATGAGTATTGGAAAATGGCCCAAGACGCTGTGAAAGCTCAACAGCGCCATCTACAGTTGCTGTCCGACGTGCTGAGTGGCTGCGGCTCGCAATCACACACAAACTTATGACAAATTGTCAGCTCCAGCCGTAGCCAATTTGGACAGATAGCTTGGCAAGCTGGACGCCAGCGAGGACCGGGCACTGTACGTGCGATGCAGACGACGCACACATCCCATATCCCTGACCGGACCAACCGGACGGCCCACGCCCTAACAACGTCGCAGCAACAGAAAATTTGTAAGTTTTTAATGCCATTTTTGGGGTCTGTTCTTACCAGGTTCACTATTCAGATGGGGTTTGTTGGACGATACCTGTTCGTGTTAGGCAGTAATCAATAATACTGAACTGTTAAAAAAAGTTAAAAAACACTCCTGATCGTCGGGTTGTAACTCAGTAGTGGTGTGGGCCTAAGTCATTCTAAGTTGGGTTAGCATGATAAAGAACCCTACTTCGTAGGTAGGAACTTATAAGTTGTTGATGTTGGATGCTGTTGGACATGTTAGTTGATCAGTACGATCATGTTGCATTCTCAATCTATCCATTACTATGAAATCTCCAACTATGGCGCAGTGCAGACGTCCAGGATTTTCGCAAAATGACAGTTACTGCACCTGTGAAAACAGCAACCATGGCAATGTAAGCACGCACCAACCAGTCCGAGGATTGGGTTACACGGTCTTTTCTTTAGCAGTACTTATGGTATGTGGCTATGGTATGGTTTTCATTGGCGTGGTGTGGTGGTTGCTACCCGCATTGTTGTGAAACTCCGAATGTCCGCACTGCCCCATATTTTCCTTTTTTGATACAATATTCTGCAACCACAACTGGGAAAGAAGAGGTGATTTGCTGATGCTAGTATGATTGGTAAATCATGCACTAAGATCAACAGATGTTGCCAAGATTGAGAAATTACGCAGATCAACTGGTTATGCCCAATATAGAGAAGTTACGTTTGTACATGGAGGTACACGTACATGTAGCATGTGTGCTTGTTAGATTCGGATAGACGTAATAAGCAGTCCCACTGACTTGACATAGGCTAATATCCCTCACAGGAAAGAAGACACAGGTTGGCGGTGATCAAATCATGTGGACTAGTGCAACAGAATTTGTTCATGTCCGTGGGTTAAGTAAAACAAAATTTGTGCATCTATTTTTGTTACAGGTTGCTGTGCATCTGATTTACTCTTCATAATGTGGACCATCAAATTACTTCGTGTCAATCATGTTCCCAAGGATTTCCGGGAGCCGTTCATCGTGTCGGGTTACCGATCCTGCCGCAGCAGTGTCTCCTCCTGCATTGTCAGTGCCTTCAGTTGGAACAACGAAACCTTTAATTTCTGGACCCACTTCATCACCTTCGTCTACTTCAGTTGGATCTTCACCCAGTGGCTGTGGTACGAGTTGCAATTTGACGTTGACCCGTTCACCTACCCGCTCCAGGTGTATCTAGCCTCGGTGTGCCTCTACATGCTGGTCAGCTCCACTGCCCATCTCTTCAACTGCATGTCGGAGAGGTCACGTCACATCTTCTTCTTCTTTGACTACGGAGCCCTAAGTATCTACAGTCTGGCCTGCTCCATCCTCTACAGCTCTTACGTGTTTCCCAAGTGTTTTGTCAACACCATGTACCATTCTGTCTTTGTACCATGCTGTGTGTTCAACGCCTTGCTGTGTACGGTGCTTGCTTGCTTGTCGCGACTTGTCGCCGGCTTGAAGCTGCAGAAGATTTTTCGCATTATATCATTTTCATTGCCTTACATATTTTGCAGTTTTCCCCTACTGTATCGCTGTATTTTCTGTCAAGGTGACGACTGCGGTCACTCGGGTGCTATCGAACTTCACATCTATCAATTCATCTTGTGCACAATCACCATCCTCATCTACGGAACCCACTTCCCAGAAGTCCTCGCACCTGGCAGGTTTGACATCATCGGTCACAGTCACCAGTTTTTCCACATCATCAGTAGCTTGGCGACTTACTGTCAGCTTCGAGGAAATATCCTTGACATGCAACACAGACGTGATTACTTGCTGTCTGAGTTGCCAATGCCAACACTCCTCAACACAGCAGGCGTTGTGGTCGGGGTCCTGATACTAAACCTCATCATCATCGGCATTTTCTCCGGTTTCATCTGGGAGAAGCAAGATTTGCGTCGAGTCAAGCAAAAACAGGGTATCTTGACCATCGGTTGCGAAGCCAGCAATCTTCAAGTCAAACAGAGTTAATCATTAATGGCCTTGGGGTTCTACTGCTGTCATATTGCGTCATCTGATATCCACCTTAAACAGAAGCAATACATCATCGGTTGAAAAGAGCCATATTGACCGGAAGTGTCCATTGCTTGAAATTGCACCCTCTTTTGGCCCTGCTCGAGGCCCATTGAGAAAAACCAGACCAGGATGGACCTTAAGAGAAATGCCTCATCCTAAAGGACATGCTGTTTTTAGCTCGTTCAAAATTTGCAAGCCCCCCTTTTTACATACTGTAAAACTTTAACTCTTGTGAACACATCTTCAAATTTCTTTCCAAAATACTGGATGCTGTGGAAATATGGACTCAGGGTAGCACCGAGGGGTGTCAGTTTCCAAACATTTTCCTGGGAGAGGACAGGCAATTTCTAACTTTTGCTAGGAAGGGGCAAGTACACCGTAGATGAAACTTTGCCTGACTCAAGGGGCTGCCGTGTCCAACTTTCATTGAAATTTCCCGTTTTGTGAATTGAACCGTTGAATACATGTAGGACACTGACATGTAGCAGCTCCATTCTTCTACAAACTCTTGAATGGGAGGTTAAAATTCAGGGAATTTTCGTTTGGCCCTATCAGTAAAAAAAATGGAGTGAAATGGACGCCAGGAGCAAATAAATTAGGATAAATTGATTGCAACATACAGCATGCATGCATGGCAGAAATGTACAATTTGATGTACATATAAAGCATCGGGGCAGTTGTAACTACTACAAACATATCTTTCTTTAATGTTCTACCAACCAGCACTACGCAGATAACTGTTTAAGACTTTTCATTTCAGTTATTTCATGCCTTATGAAGTTGTTTCTTCAGACCTTCACGACCTGCACTTCTTTACACAGCAATATTTGTTTTCATATGATATTTGATATGAGATAGTTTGATATTAGCCTTGTAATGCACTTTACTATCCTTTACAGTTTTGTATCTTTTATTTTTATACTAGATGTATGTGAAGAATTTCAAGAGTGTGCATGCTGTCTTATATTCTTCTGTGGAAGTGGGGTAACTTTTTCAGGGTTCTAAGGTCAGGGTATACATTGTTGCCATTGGGTTAAAGCAACTGAGTTCTGGGTCAGTAGTTCTAGAAATTGTGCTGGGTGTGTTAATGTGCCAGCTCGGGGCCTGTTTTCTACAAGGGTTTAGCTTTGCCTTGTGTTTTTCAAATATTTATTCTTGTGGTACACATCTTGGTATAGTTGGACAAACAAAAATGGACTAACGCAATTCACAGAAATAAGCTTAGATACATGTATCTACATATATATATTTTTCTAGAAGAAATAATTTCTCTAACTTCTGTTTGTTTACTTGTATATTATGAATGTTTCAGACATGTACATGGAGTTACATATTTGTGCAAGTCATTTTATCATGTCTTAAAACGTTTGAAAAGTGTCAATTACATGAATACATGCACCTGTCGCAGTGAATATGTGCACCTGCCATGTTGAATATCAATATTCACCAATCTGTCAGGTCCTGGGTTTTTTTTGCAATTGCTCATGAACAGAAACAAGCTAGGCTCTGTTTTTGTAGCTGAACACACGTACAGAAATCGTGCTTTATTAAATTTTATCACTTGAAAATAGCTGGTACTGTGAGACGTGAATTCTAAATTAGTTTGTAAATTTCTGTACCTGTAGTCGGGTAGAAGAGGTTTAATTATAATTGTTGACGTGATTGTGTTGCAGATACATCTATCTGAATGTACTTTGTTTGCTTACGGGTGAACTGAGATTGAGAAATTTCGTGTTAAAAATAGACTTGAATAGCTGTGTGCTTCGAATGGTTTATGTGTACATGTTTTTGTAATATTATTTAGAACCATTGTTTCTAATTGCATCAGTGAAGTGTTACATTAATTTCTGGAGGAAACTGGTGTATTCGACACTTCCTGGGATTGGAGGTTAGATTACGCCACTCATACTGGTATTTTTAGCGATTTCTCTGAATATTTTTGTAATGACCTGTTAAGGTAAACTAACACCTCAAATTTGCTTTTTCTGTCTTTTTCCAAAAAACCAAGCCGTGAAATCTGCTAACTGTAGTAAGAACAATGTGCTTGCTAGTCATGATAGTCAATATAAAAACAGGTTTGACGTGTGTATTTCTTGATGTCAACCGGCAGGCTTTTTACAATTTGAGTGGCTTTGAAAGATAAGATATTTGCCATTTAAAGTGCCCGTAGAGATAACTCAGTGTTTCTTGTGACATAAGCATTTCTAATAGTAGGTTATTTTTGTACTCTGAGTACCAAGTATATTTTATGACCACCAACAGTTTTTCAGGCATTTAAAGCTGCTTCTGGCATAAGGGGACAAGTAGATGAAAACTGAAAATAGACTATTAAATATTTCCTTGCCCAAGTACTTGTGTTATATGTACCTTCTGTCTATGAATGACGCGTGATAATGACTTTTCAATATTCAAAATAAATAGTATAAAGTTACACCACTTATCTTGTTTGTAGAAATGGCTAATATGTTGCACATTGGATTTCAAGCCATTGAATATGATGGAAAAATCAGAATTTTGATTTTTGGTGGTTATTTACAAGTGATATCTGCTTGTTGGCAGTTTTGACTGCCATTCAAAGAAAATCTAAATATTGCTTGAAAAAAACTGAAAGGAGTCAGATTTGAAGTGTCTCTCTTGCTTCAAGGATTTTTTTCTCTCATTTAAAAGGTGGGTTTCCATCACTCTCCAGAAAAAAAAGTAAAATTTAATGTGTGTGTGGCGATACAACGAAATGCCAAATGAAACGAAATGCCAAGCGAGCAGCCAAAGCTTGCTCTCGACATGTACTCAGCTCAGATGGGTCTGTCAGTCATCATTGCCCTCGTAAAATGCTGCATGAGTGACCAAGTTTCCACAATCAAAATATATCCACCCAGATGTCTTGTAGGATTACATAAACATGCCTTACATGTAAACCAGGTCCCAACGCAGAAGTTTGAACTTGCTGTGAATTTTCCAGAATAGTCAGACCTTTTTGTCATAATCTTTTCACTGAATTTGGTCAAATATTTAAGCATGCTCGATGCCAAGCAGTTCACTGACACATTTGCATGTAGCACTGAACATACATGAGTTGTCTCCGATTGGATTGATGACTATTTTGGGAATCCAAAAATGTTGTGTGTATTTATGGTGCATGTGTAATAAACTGCACTGCAATGAGTGAAATAACAACCTTGAGCACTCTGACCTCTCCTTTTTTTGTTGTTTCCTGTGAAATGATACAAGGACGCTGAAACAATCAAACACAACAAAAGAACTTCTCTAAGCAGCCCACTGACTGGAAAGACTAGACAGATAAAGAGCTTGAACAGTGAGGCCTGACCTCTCTGTGAAAAAAAAAAAAAGAGATTCTGTTGTGATCTGCTTGGTGACGGTTGGTACCAATATTTTGGTGTATATTTTGTCATCAATAGCACAGCAAAGGTGGCCATGGAATATACAGCCAGCCCTATCGTAGACTATAGCACTATTGTGGTGCAGCGATCATGCATACTAGATGTCCCTTGGCTGTATAGGAAGCACAAGTGGAGTTGCCGGGTAACACCATAGTATAGTCAGTACCACAGAAAAGAATATAGGTGCACGTTGAGGCAAATAAAAGTTCCCGTGCTGACATTGTTGGACGGACTTTGGCTGAAGTGTGGGCATTGTGGCTCTATTGAATTGCTTCTCAAGGCTGAATATTGGGCGGATTAGTTGGACATGCAGGGTACGCACATGCAACAAGCAGTACTCTAGATAAGGTAAGGGCCTTCATAACCGATGCATACATGTAACTTGATTTCACTTTAAAGGCTGGTTTGCTCCATAATTGGAAAGGCATTTATTTGGCCATGAATATTAAAGAGTGTGGTGCATTTCAACTTAAGATTGTATTCACTTATAATAGCTTTGACAGATATTTTCAGCTTCTGAAAAATAAGTGCTTTAATTGACTTTGATCTTCGCATGGAATTCCTTGTGACAAAAAGTGAGTGGTACGTGGCTAACTTGAAAATAAATGCTTGAAAATAAAATCAAATTAATTTCACAGCAAGAAGTAACAAGCTTCCATCAATTTTCCTGAGTGCCCTTAATTGGAAATTCTCATTTTAACTGCTCTTAACCTTGAATGCCCATTAGTTTGCAACATTTTTTAGGCATTGGTGTCTCTGACTTTTCAGCAGGTTACTAAATGTGCAGTGAAATGTGTGCCGCCAAGTTACAGCGTGCCGACCAAATATCGGAGTCCTTCCGGGAACCATTCATCTTCAGTGGTTACCGATCCTGCCACAGCAGTGTCTCCTCCTGCATCCTCAGCGCCTTCAGTTGGAACAATGAAACCTTTAATTTCTGGACCCATTTCATCACCTTTCTCTACTTCAGTTGGATCTTCACCCAGTATCTGTGGCACGAGTTGCGATTTGACGTTGACCCGTTCACCTACCCGCTTCAGGTGTTTATAGCTTCGATATGTCTCTGCATGTTGGTCAGCTCCACTGCCCATCTCTTCAACTGCATATCAGAGCGAATCCACCACATCTGTTTTTTCTTTGACTACAGCGCCATCAGCATCTACGGTCTTGCTACCTGCTTAATGTACAATGTGTACATCTTTCCCCAAAGCTTGATGAACTCAGCCTATCACGAACTTTACTTTCCAATCAGCGTGGTCATCAGCCTTCTCTGTACTTTCTTAGCTTGTGCGGCTCGTCTTGTCAAATGGAAGATGTTGCGGATCTCAGCGTTCTCTACGCAATACCTTTTCTGCAGCTTTCCGCTGCTGTACCGCTGCGTGTTTTGCGAGGACCACGACTGTGATCATCCAGGGGCCATCCAGTTCCATGTTTATCAGTTCATCTTATGCACAGTCACTGTTCTCGTTTACGGTTCTCGCTTTCCGGAAGTCGTAGCACCCGGAAAGTTTGACATAGTCGGTCACAGTCACCAGTTTTTTCACATCTTCAGTAGCTTGGCAAACTACTGTCAACTGCGAGGGAATATCCTTGACATGCAACACAGACGTGATTACTTGCTGTCTGAGTTGCCAATGCCGACGCTCTTCAACACAGCAGGCGTTGTGGTCGGGGTTCTGATGCTAAACCTCATCATCATTGGCATTTTCTCCAGTTTCATTTGGGAGAACATGGATTCGCGCAAAGCCAAACAAAAGACGGGTATTTTGACCATCCTTTGGCAAAGTGGCAATAATAACATTTTGAAAGAAGAATAATTTGCAAACAACTTTTGAAAACCTTTTATTCAGATATATTTTTATAACATTTTCATATCGACACAAGTATTTCTTTACAATATGCATCCTTTTCTTTTGAAAAGATCTCTTCTGGAACTTTTCTGAAGTATATTTTGAAATATGGAATTTAACTCGTACCATTAAATTCTCAAATACTGAGCACAAGATGTCCTTCAGGCTAACAAGTCACAACTAGTTTTGTGTATGCTCCAGTCTGTTATAGGAAATATTTGGACCAGTAAAGAAGACTTTGGAGATGACTGGTGCAGTTCAGACTGTTGTGCTGAAATTCTTCTCATAGAACACACACTTTAATTCCCCATGTTTCAAAGATTCTACCTTCTATAGACTTTCCCGTGGTCCTTGCAGGGATTGAACTGAAATATTTGCTTAAATAATAGGCGTAGCCACGGGCATTCTAAACAGGAGTTTGTAGCTAGAGTTGAGGTCAAAGTATTCTCAGGAAGCTGCTTCAAGCACAATGCGGTGTGATACGGATCAATAAAAACTAGAATAGCGATGAAACGGGATGACCTTGTATTGGCTCTGCTGTATTGACCTACTAAAGCCTCTAAAGTGTATATCTATCCAACACTATAAAGCAGATTGTCCCATAAACCCAGGACAACTGTTTACTATTTCATCATCACCAGACTGTGATGATAGAGTGGATACCAGTCCTTCTGTACCTTCTAATGAAAATACTACAGACCAAGGCGAGCTTCACATCTACAGTTTACACCGTGCATGTATTTAAATGACCCCCCCCACAAAAAAAAACCCACCCTTGGCGAGGAACTATATGTGACCTGTCGCCACAAAATGAGCTGAAAGTCAGAATTTTCAAAAACTGAGATATTTGTATTTTTGAATTCAGCAGAAAAAGAGCTTTCCAGCCGTATGTACATGGAACACTTAGGGTAAGAGTACCAGGTGACAATGTGACTTTATTCTGGCAGCTTTGCATCTTTGGTTCCGGAATGTTTTCACTATTTCAGACCAGGCACGAATAATGCTGTCGTCAAAATTGCTGAGAAAATGACATTTTTAAGGATATGATCCTGCAAAATATTTGTAGTTAAATAGGAGATGGGTTACTCTTTTCAAATATTACAAACCCTCTGTCTGTCATTTTATCGTAACAGGTCACATATATTTTACTGTTTTTGGTTCTTAACAAAAATGAAAACAGGTCGTTCTATAACTTCACGGCCCAAAAGTGTGACATTTTGGGGTCCCTGTTACACCTGTCCTGTGTAATTTGATGTGAAAATATCACTGAAATTGATTTCAAACTATTTCTATTTGTTTGGCAGGTAATCTGGATTAATTCATCACTCTTGGAAATGATAGAATGTGTTTTGAAGTTACCAAAATCATATGTCAGGTGTGACAGGAACATAAAATAGTTGGACCCCTAATGACCCAAACCACCCCAAAAAGAGGAAAATAACTAAAAAAATGTAACAACCTGAACATTCAGGAATATCTGACAATACCGAATCGGTCTTAAATTCACAGGTTACGGCGACGGTAAAATTCTCACATCTCATTCTGCTTGGCAATACGCACATAAGGGTTTGTCTTCTAGGATGTTGACATGACATAAACACGGATACTGAAGCAGATTACCCTGCAGATTTCTGATGCACTGTCTATAAATTTAACGGTAATTGTAAATGGCTCCTGCACCGAAATCAACTGTGAACAAAAGAGATTCGCAATACAATGTACCCTCAGAAATTTGCCATCGGATCACTTTATGACATCACGGATGATTTCCTATGCACAGGAAAGTTGTCAAACAGGTCAAGCAACGGTTTCATGAATTATTCATCGGCTATTGTTCACAATTTACAAGCGTTAGCATTAGAACACTGGCTCATCTGGTAGTCTCATAAATAATTCCAAATTGTTCACTTTGGAGAAAAAAAAGCAGTAAGCTATAATTAGCCTTTGGTTCACATCTGTGTACTGGGCTGTATAAAAAACTTGCTTCTGTAATGGAAGGCAACGAGCTTGGCCAAAAAAGACACTATTGTTTCAAATGACATTTTTGAGATAAATTCAATCCAGCAACAGCTCACAAGTTCCTTTCAAGTCTTCAGCAAATGAAAATACTCTTACTGTTTACTTGTACAGTCCAACAAATCAAAATTATCAAAATCTCTGAATGGCGTAACCAATAAGCAATTCGTGTCTGCTTTGTCAACCAATCGGAGCAGTTCGACCAATCAGGAATCACCAAATCCCTGACTGATTCAGCCAATCAGCAAGTAGTCCTTCCACTGTGCAACCAATCAGGAATCCGCAAAGTTCATGCTTGGCCAATCGGCAAAGCTCCTCCAGGATCCAACCAAATGTTCTTCCATACTTCAGGTCATTGGTAGAAGTTACGAATGCGTGTTCCACAACATGCAGAAATCAAACAGTGAAACAAATACACAGGGCTTCCTGTTCAGACAGAGGTACTACCAAAGGAAGTTCAAATGAAGTGTACCTTACGGCGTCATTCACTGTACTTCTGGAGTTTGAGGCGAGGCACTATGTTCATGGATTGCAGTTCTTGGAAGAGCAGCTTACAGGCGTAAGGAATGCGTAGGGAAGATATACTACCTGACGATTTGCAGTAATGACACCTAGAAACCAAGCAAGGAACCGCAAGCGTCACAACGAGCAAAACCCTGTCGATTCACATCAGCCACTCAAATTCCTCACATCCTATTTATCCAAACTGCGAATACATGATACTTGCAGCAATCTGGGTTTTTTTAACAAATACTCAACTTTTTCCATCAATCGAAAGCCCCAGCACTCAGTCCGCTTTGTCTAGATTCTCGGGGTTCATTTCAACTACGTAGTTTGGGGCCTGGCTGTTTCACACTGATCTGGATTGCAATCGGTAATCCCATGTTGGTTGACTGACACCAGAACTTGCCTAATGGAAGGAGCAAACCGGTTTTGGGATCACCGACCGCGATTCCGATCCTTGTGAAACGAACAGGCCCTCCGTACACTTGTCAGACTCGGAACAGGAACTTGACAAAATGGCGGCCACATGTATATGCTTACCATCCTGAGTATCCCAGAAGGCCACATTCCCCGCACACATCGACTTGGAACTGATCGCTGGATATCATCAGCCGCTCCAACAGCAGCATGCTGGCACCATAGCCAATCAGGCAGTCTCTTTCCATCTCGCCCAGTCTCAAGCCACCATCTCTGCGAAAATAAAACTACACCTTAAGTTTCCATTCAACAATTGGACTCTTCTTATTTCTCAAATTCATATCGTCTTCCAAACTCACATCCTAGGAGTGTCTGGTAACAGCCCTGGTAATTTGCATTGGGACGGAGCAAAAACTGAATTAAAAACCAAGAAAGAAACTCAAAAATGATCAGGGACAACTTTTTGGGGGATTGATTTATGAGGAAGCTATATACATAAGCCACTCCAATGCATATCATTATTCCACTGGGATTGCACAAAATGCTTCCAAAGAGCCCCAAAGCTAGCCTACCTGGATCTGCCTTCTGTTGGCTGTCTTGTCAACACAGCACGAGGTCCCTTGGCTCTAGCGTGCATCTTGTCCAGCACCATATGCTTCAGTTTCTGGTAGTACACAGGGCCAAAGTAGATATAAGCACTCAACGGCTCTCTGTCAAGACAAAGTAGAGATGATTATGGCCAAGTATGGACTGTGCACAAGAGCTCCCTCATTGGTGATGAAGAGGTAGGCTGGGCTGGCACTTTGCCATTGCTGCCATGCTTGTGCACTTCCTCTGAAATTCAAAGAGCTTTGTTGTTCCGTAACAGACAAAGCACTCTCATTAGCGCCCTCTTTCGTTCATGCTCCCAGCCTATAGTGACTAGCTTACCCTGTGATGCCCGACGTTAGGTAGTCTTTGCCTAGGTAGTTGAAGCCGTGACTGATCAGAACCTGTGAGACATCTTCCACTTTGTCCCCGCCGAAAGCTGCAAAGGGAATATATGAAAAAAAAGTATTAAAAACTGACGAACTGTGACACGTCTTTTGTACAATCACGCTTGGCAGGGGCACAAAATGACAGCCATAGGGAGGAGTCAATCCAATCTCTCGGTAAAACATTGGACGAGGACTTAACCTTTGACCCTATCCTATAGTTCTGCTCACCACAGAATTCTATACTATTGCAGTTTATGAAAAATGGTCGAGGGAAGCACAAAATCTGAGACAAGCCAAACGCAGCATACAAAATTCTAAAGGGTTGTCTCTTGAGGCGTGGCTAACTGGCACACTGTGATAGGTCAATTATGAGCTAACCAATCTTATCACATACCGTTTTTACTGAAACTCCACGCTAGCCCTTTGTTAGCCACAGAATCTTTGGTTTAGGGATGTCCGCACCCCCGCAAGATCAAACCTAACTTACCCGTTCCATAGTGGAACTTTCCCTTCAAGAGACCTGCTTTGCCAGCCAGTAACTCGATGAGTTTGCCCACGGTCATTCGAGATGGAAAACCATGGGGATTCATGATCTACAGGAAAAAACAGTCAATGTTCAACAGCATTATAAACTGAACACTTGTAAAGTCCTGGGCCCAAAAGTGCCAAAGACACGTGAAAACAAGAACAGCACATGCATTCGTCATCTGAGATAAGCAACGATTTAGGCAGCTGCGTTGCCATGGTGTGTTGCAATTACAAATCATTTTAATTAGAATGGCTGTACTTTGATGCTATTTGGATCTTTTGCGTCAGCCCGTTGATGACGTAACTTGATCAGATATGACTAAATGACCCTACACGCTGTATCTTGTCACACTGAGTAGCATACTGGATTTAACAACTGCCAGTGCAGTAGAAGAGACCTCTTAACGTGGTGACTGCCGACTCGTAACAGGTGAACCAGATTCTGCCACTACGCTTTACTCGTAGGAACTGAGAGGCTACTGTAATGTAAATTACGGGGGACATGTGGCCTAGTGGTTAGGGTTTGTAGCTTCTGGGCATAGGGTCAGGGGTTTGAACCCATCTAGTGGCAGCATGTTGTGGCCCTGGGCAAATACCCCTATGTGCCTCTCTCCACCCAGGAGTAAATGGGTACCTGTGAGGGCCGACAGGAGGCATGTGGCCTAGTGGTTAGGGTTTGTAGCTTCTGATTATAGGGTCTGGGGTTTGAATCCAGCTGGTGGCAGGATGTTGTGATCCTGGGCAAGTCACTTTACCCCTATGTGCCTCTCTCCACCCAGGAGCAAATAGGTTCCTGTGAGGGCAGATATGGTAGTTCAGCTGTTTGCGCCAAAATGGCAGGGCACCAGGCTAGTATACTCCCCAGGGAGCTGAGATGGTTTCAGGAATGTTCAGATGATGTGTGAGCCCAGTGAGCAGGGATAATTATAACAAGCACAAGGAGGCATTCCGTGATCTGCGCTTTATAAAAACTGACTATTATTAAATTGAAGACGCTGGCATCAGTGAGAACGCAACAAATTCCCTGCTGGCAGAGTGGGGGACGTACATCTGTGAAATACTCATGTTCAAACAGACACCTGAAAGGTACCTGTCAAATATGCGCACATGTGTACAATGCTTGGCAAATGGGATCACCCCTTTAAAGCTATGCACGGCAGTCAACGCATTCAGATCATCACAAGACAACATACAACTTCCTGTCTGAAATTAAGTTACAAGCTATCCCAGTGCGTGGCAACGTGAGCATTCCTTTGTCACTGTTCACCCTGTTACTTGTGACTGGTCTTGTGATTGGTCTTATGACTGGTCTTGTGATTGGTCTTGTGATTGGTCTTGTGACTGTTTCTATGACTGGTCTTGTGACTGGTCTTGTGACTGGTCTTGCTACTGTTTCTATGACTGGTCTTGTGATTGGTCTTGTGATTGGTCTTGTGACTATTTCTATGGCTGGTCTTGTGATTGGTCTTGTGACTGTTTCTATGATTGGTCTTGTGACTGGTCTTGTGACTGGTCTTGTGACTGTTTTTGTGACTGGTCTCGTGAATGGTTTTGTCTCTGGTCTTGTAAAAGAATTGTGATGGTCTCAACTACGACACTGACCACTGCTGCTGTTGTTGCAGTCGGCAGAGTTTCTAGCCATAATAACCTTAAGCGTCGGTTTTAATGTGCCAGCTCGGTACTCCAACAAAACCGGAGAAAATGGCTGATTTACTTACAATGTCAGGACACATCCCCAGGTCGTTGAATGGCATATCCTCTTGCTGAACTATCAGGCCACATACACTATCAAAAAAAGAAAAGAAGTAATCAAAACAGGGAGCCTTCAATCATCATGAAAGAGCAAGCTAAAGCTCTGGTTTGATGCATCATCCACTTTGGCATCCTCACGAAAATGGATTAAAGTGCCAAATCTTTGACAGTTCCTACTGATAAATGTGAGATTTCTTTAAAGGTCTTTAACTCCAAACCAACTCTGGCGGCTCGCGAGTCCTTTTGTTAATGATCAGGTCACATGTTCAAGTACCCTTTCTGTCCATGTCGACTGCTGAATTTATCTCCAATCTCTGGTCGTCTGGTCTGTCGCAGCAAGACTTTGATCAGGAAGGCTTCCTCTGGGTTGGAGGTGATCAGTACCTTCTCAATGTAGGAATCCTGCGCTCCTTTGTATCTGCAAGTCAAAAAAAAAACTCTCAAGTGCATCTTGGGAGTTGGAATCCAGCTGGTGGCAGCAGGCTGTGATCTTGGGCAAGTCACTTCACCCCTGTGTGTCTCTCTCCACCCAGGAGCAAACGGATACCTGTGACGTGAGGGCAGATATGGCTATGTTGGGTCCTTTAAATTTGGCCGGTGCCTACACGTCCCAGGGAGCTATGGTTTCAGGAATGTTCAGTTATTGTGAGCCCAACGTGCAGGGAGAATGATAATATATCAGTGCCTTTGAATTTCAGCTGCATTATTCATGATTGCAAAGATGTATGTGTTGGAGGGTAATCAAATCGCTGTGCAAACAGGCAATCTTTGATCAAAGTCATAACTTCAACTTCCTTTGCCATCATCACTGTGCTTTTCATGGAATCCTTGGAAATGACAACCACATACAACAGTGTGAAGAAAGAAGCTTACGTAATTGGTACGTCCCGGCATTCTGCTTGCTGTTCGCCGGTGGCATTGCTAGGCAACGGGTTCATGGTGACAACGGGCATGGATTTGTTCAACAGAACTTGTTTGTTTTTCACTCGCTCCCCTGTTGTAAAGTAAGGAGAAAAAAATATCCAAAACGGAAACATACTTCAGTCCCTAAAGCAATTCAAAGTGGAACAAAACATGGCCACTGACAAGTGGAAAGAGTGGGATTTCACGAAACAGTGCAAGGTGTGCAGAATTAATGGGAAGAAATAATTAACGAAATTGTTTTCAGAGTTGAGCATTACAGTTGGTATTCTGAAACTTCCTAGAACTGCCCAATATTTTTTGAAGATTTCCACACTTTTAGATTTCCAGCGCTGTGTTTGTACATGAAATTTGAATGTGAGAATACCTGGTGCACATATGCCGTCCATGTCCAACACTTCATGTCTCCAAATTGGCTTCTTGGTGGCAGCATCCAACATCGGTCCCATCATACGATCAAAGGTCTGATTGGCGTAACGCTTCAGCGTACATTTCTGGTTGCGATAAACAAGGCAACGCCCAACACCTGCAAAGACACACGCACAAGACACCGAACAGTTTTATCATAAAAGTTGAATAATGCTGCAATTTCTATGGCTGAAGCACTTAAATTACCTCATACAAAAACCTGCAAGTTGAATGCATTATATCACTGATTATCAAAGGTTCTGCTGTGACATTTTCATCCTAATACTCGTTACTCTTTCACCAGTTGAAGAAATAAACAGTGTCAGGGATTTTATCGGTAGTCTGAAAAGGATGTCACGTAGAACGATGTGCACCATATGCATATCAAAGATATTTACACTTTTTAGCATAAATGAAGTTACGGTTTGCAAGTCATGAAAGCGTAAAGTACAAACTTTATGCAGCCTGAGAGATCAGAAAATTATGTCGAGTTCTGTAATATGCATACAATGCACATCGTTCTACATGACATCTTTTTCCGACTACCTATTTCACTGTCACCTGTGAAGTTGCATCTTTCACAGTTTTGACTTGTTTACACAATAAAGGATTAAGATGGAGCAGATAAAGAGAAATCCATGAAACATCCAACAGAGGGACTGTAACAACGACAACAATACAATATAGTGACCTTTTAGGGCTTTGAAGACCAAAAAACATGGCAGGAGTGTATTTTGCACTTGGTTTTACTGACTTCAAATGTGGAAAATCCTCAATGACTACACCCATTGGGGTAAAGCAGACAGTGTAGCGTATCTCTCAGATAAAGAAAGAAATATATCATGTCCCGCATCGATGCAGTCAACAGCCGGTAAATAATAACTACCTCTGTCTACAGACGCCTTGTTCAAGATGAGTGCATCTTCTATGTCGTAACCGCTGTAGCTCATGACTGCTATGATGGCGTTCTGGCCAGCGGGGATCTTATCAAAACCGATCAGATCAATGGTCTGAAAATGGGCAAGGGCCCAAGAAAATTACAAATGTGACTCACTCCAAAGGGAGGCTGAAGGCTTCCTAGCTATAATCTGAAACAACGATAAATGTCAAACAATCGATCGCTCAGGATTATCACCTGATCATGTTGGGCTATCAGTTGATCCAGTCTGAAATTTCTAACTTTACTTCCTTTTTTGAAACGATCTTCCACAACCTTGAAGTAGAAAAAAAAGGCAACCAGCGGATAGCACAATTATCGACAAATCCTGCAACAGAATTGGCAAATCGCACAAAGATTGACCGATCACACAGATCGACTGATGGCACAGATCGATTGATTACACAGATCAACTGACTCCACAGATCGACTGACTCCACAGATCAACTGACAGCACAGATCAAATGATTTAGCCCAACATCCACGTAAACAGTGCCAAGTTTACAACTTTCACTGCCTTTAACGACCAAAGGGTTAAAGATTTCATTTTGATAGTGCGGGTGGCTAGCAGCCTAAAGTACTCGCTTCTCACCACTGTGACTCGGGTTCGATTCCCAGCCGGGGGAATATATGAGTATAGTACAGTTATTCGTCAGTTTCCTCCAATGACATGAGGCTGTGGCCCGTTGCCTATGACCTGTGTCTTACTGTCACCTGTAGATGAGTGGTCTGGACAAGGGCCTACCTTTGATTTAACGAGGGGAGCCTGTGGGTAAGCCAGCAGGTACATCAAGGTGTCGATGCGGTTGCGCTGGTTGTAGGCTATGGTTCCTGTCACAATGTTGCAAACGAAGAGTTAAAAATCAAGATTCTACTACGACTAAATTCTGCATTCTGACCCGTAGTTCAGTTCCACCACCCTGTAGCAAGGGGATCATCAAAGCACAAAGTCTTTTATGGACTGGGGTCTGAGGCCTATTTCAGGCCCCAGAAATATTATGGATTCATGGTGCTCAGTGGAGTGATCTGACTTCTGAGGCAATATCTGACTACTTCATGCAATTCATAGGAACGTTTGGACACTGATGTCGAGTAAGACGCACTAAGCTGGCTAGTATAAGCTTTAGAATCAATCGACTTCCATTCGGCGACAGAACAGTGGGAAAGGAAAGACAAATATCTCTCACTTTAAGAAGTCGTGGGTGGAGACAAGCCTCCCACTGATTTGACACTCATGCCCCAAAGGAAAGTCCACACAAAAACCTGCATATTAGGACAGACATTCTCAGCCTGAGTGTACATTTCAGTGTCATGTATTGATCAACTTGCTGTCATACGGACTTTGTAGAAAGTCTTATATTCTAGACTCTACAATACGTAATTCTCTAGACTTACCCATCGCCTGCTTGCCCATGGCACACTGGTACGTGTTCCTGGGTGACTGGTTATGATGTGGATAGGGGATAAGACCGGCGCACACACCTAGGATAGTGAAAGGCTCGATCTCTAGATGGGTGGTCTCGCTGCATTCGGAAAAACCCAAAATTGGTCAAATGCGATAGAAAGCATCACTGGGTGTGAAAAAAAGGAACCGCTTTTTCTTTTAAAATTTGTCAGAAAAAAATTTCTGGTCATTTTTTTTCTAATCTCTGAGAAAATACTGGGAAAATTTTGAATGATCGTTACAAGATCACCACAATTTGGAACAGGTTCCAAACATGAATGCTCAGGCACTTGGGTGCTCGGTTCCAATCCATCATAGATTAAGAAGTGTTGATGACCTCCAAATATTTTACACAACTGGTTCTACTGTGTACTACCTCAATAAAACTTGGAATGTAGATCACATTTGAAGTTTTACAACATGGAATTTACGGTGATCTAAAATTTGAAATGGTAAGCAGCGCCATCAAACTCGGCCCTGAGCTGATTACAAACCTGGTGATGAAGGATTCATAAAGCGCTATCTGACAGTCGTTCTCTTCGTTGACATCCAGGTATTCCACTAGACCATCTCGAAGGAAATCTTCAAAGCTGCGAAATCCTCGATTCAATTCTTGCATGTGCTGGTTTGTCACCTTGGGCTTCCCTTTTTCAACTATGATGTACGGTCTGTGTGATACACACCAGAAACAGATAATGTAATACGGCAAATTCACAATGCAGTGCGTCACAAAGAGGTTGCCATGGAGAAACCTTTTTGCAGCCAGAACAATTTACTAGTAAAAACAAGCGCTCACCTGCACACGCGGCCACCGTCCGATGCTATGTAGATGGTCCGCTGGGAATGATTGGCAAAGATGGAGACAAACTCGTTGATGTAGCCCGCCCGTCTCATCATGCGGAACGTCCTGACGAGTCGGCCGTGATTGCAGATGACGCCCAGGATGTTGCCGTTGAGGAAGACAAGGTAGGTGTGGGGGGAGCTGAGCTCCTCCCCCGAGAGCAGACTGATGTCCTCCACGCCGAGGTTGAAGGCCAACTGGACGATGGGCTGTTCCTCCATGTCCGTCGTGATGTGAGTCATGAGAGCCAAGTTCTTGACCAGCCCGCATGCCTAAAAAGGAAATGCACAAAACGGAGCAGAGTTGTGGTTGAGAACTTTTCCAGAACCAAGTTCCAGCTCAAGGCCCATACAAGCAACTAAATAGTTGCCACTTACACTTCAACTGAAGGAATGTTACAAATTTTAGAAAGAAACCTGAAACATGCTCACAGCTGTGATGTGGGACTGAAGTTTTTTCGCCCACTTAAGAAGTGGTGTATTGTGTCCTTTGGGTGTAAAAAAAAAAACCATGTCCCACAAAACAATAGTTAACAATTGTTCCATCTCCAATGCCTGGGAGTGTATCCCGTCATATATCTCACCTCTCCTTCTGGTGTGTCCGACGGACACAGCATACCCCACTGGGACGGCTGGAGCGACCGAGGACCGCTCACTTTTCTCGTCTTCTCAAACTACATTTCAACAGGACGAAGAACACAAGAGAATGAATTTTACTGAATGAAAAACGTTCAGAGTTTGCCCTGCTGTCCTTGTGATACACAACAGACACTTTTAGAACTTGATCTGCTTAACAGCAACGTTATCAAAAACACTTCTGCTGTTTTGCCATGAGTTTATAAACGTTCCCTGAAGAAAAAGTAATGTAACTTACAGGAAATGAAAATAAACTTTATACTTCAGTAGTGACCGTTGCTGGAAGCAAAGAACACCTTTTAAGGATGCTAAAAAGTTACCAATACCTCGGTGAAAGCTTTGGTCATTGAAATATACCGTAAGAACAACTTTGACTCGGGTGAATAAATAGGCGAGTTACCTGGCTCGATATGCGAGTCATCATTCCGAGACATGAGATGTAGGAGAGTCTGGAGAGCACTTGGGTCACACCAGCTCGGTCCATCTTGAATCGCTTGACTGACCAGTTACCCTGTAAAAATAACATAAACATTTCACGTGTTAACGCACTCACGTACAGTGCCAAGTACAAAGAATGTATTCCTTATTCTTGAATATCAAATAAGTGAACAATAGACCAATTGCGCCCGCTATTACAATCATGTGACCTGTAGTGAGTATCAACAGAGTGGGTATACAGTGAAGTTACGGTATAGTACCCACCGCATCAGTAGTCTGAGTACAGTACCTACCGTTGGCTTTATTTTTGGTCAGTGATGCTTATGAAACACTTTGCTTTTGGTGGACGCAACGCTTGTTGATATTTAATACTCACTGTAGATCACGTGACTTGGCGCGCGTAATCGGTCTATACATCCCAAGATGGTCCTTAAAGCTTTGTCACAATCTTTGCCCTACCCAAGATAATGAAAAACATCTCACTTGCTATCTCACTTGCGAATGCTGCGTGTGAAACACAGGTGTATTTCGTTACTCAATGTTTCACTAATGCTCGAGGGTTAACTAGTACCATATGACTGATCATCTCACCGATGATATGGCTGTTATCAGGCCGTTTGTAATCTGGTCTTGCCTCATGTGCTTGACGATGTCAAACTGCGCAGCCCGAGGCTTGGGTATAGTCTGGTCAGCAATCTTCTTCAATTCGTTGTTGAATTTCTTAAACAAATCTTCAAAGAGGAGTGCTATCAACTGAAAACGAAACCAGAAAGTTGTTATTTGAAAACCCAATTAAGCAGCAAACTTCATTTCAATAGGGGCGGCCAGGCAAATCTCATATCTGGAAGAGCTCACTTGAAATCACTTTACTATCCAGTAGGTAAGTGACTTTGTCATATATGAGCAGGTATTACTGATTACAACCTGTCATTGGGTGAACATCTAAGCTGCACGTTAACTTCCGGTTCCATGGTTCTACATTACTCTATGTACAACGGGCTTGGTGTAAACTGAGGTGACGCCACATTGCAAACCGGATTTAAGTCTAATTCAAAACTTTCTTCTACGGTGGAATTTAGGGTCGGAGAAATGAATAGTTCAAGTAGGTTTCGTATGAGACAGATGTAATTCAACCAGCACTGCACACAAGTTTGTGAGAAAGTTCAAAAGTTTGCCAAGGTGGAATTTGAACCTTCCACCCGCTGTTCACTAGTGAAGATATCTTCACAGCTCAACCATCCAGACTGTTGTAGTCTGCCATCCTTCACCTTTCAACAAAGCAGCACACACCAAAATCGCTGATCAAGGAGGCCTAAATTTTAACGAGACGTTTTCTACTTCACAGGCACATTTTAAAAAGCACTGTCAACTCAATTACACTGGTAAAGTTTTATAAAACCCAAAGTGAAATTGACATCTCTGCAACAGAAAGTTGCTGCCCACTCACCTGACCGGCCATTTCAAGCCTCTTGTTGCCATAGTAGTCTCTGTCGTCGACTTTGCAGTCGTCCCCCTGAGCTTGAATCACGCGACGGACCATCAGTGCCAGATAAATGCATTTAAGTTTGAAATTAAACTGAACCACCTGTAACACCGAAGCACATTGAACAAAATGCTGTTACTTCAGATAACCTCTTCGCATTACTCTTTATGTGAAATTATGTTCAAATATCAAACAAGGAAATCAGAAAGAAAGGAAATTAAGAGTTGCACGGGACTTGGAACAGCCTTTTTTAACCCTGTAATGGCACACGTGGGAAATCAGAAATGTCAGCTTATTCGTGAAAAAGTTGCAGGTACTCTATCTTGGTTCTGAAACAGTCGCAAGTCAAGTTTTGTCGCTGAAATGCCCATCTTATTTGTCATTTTCACAACAAAATGATGAAGAAATCTGCAAGAACAGTTTGGTATCAGAGTGATTTCATATCTGAATTGTCAAAATTAAAAGCAAATTCACGCATAAATTTCAGGAGCGAGTAAGGATGGTCAATACAGCCGTGCTGTTTTAGCCGCGTTTTACTGCATGTATAAAAATGTAGAGATAACCACGATGCAGCTAACTGGATGCACTTACAGGTACATGGGCTAACACTGTGGTCGCTAGAACCTCTCTGGCTTCATCTATCTTACTTCTCTTTGAGCCTCCCCACATGCGTTTCTGTCTCATCTTACTCCCGATAAACTTCAGGGCCTGCCAAAAAAGAGAGACCATGAAATCTGCCATCACTGTGTGGTTTGAATAGCACCAACAGTCCCATTGATACCTTTTGTATCATGCAGAATTCTGTGCCTTGACATACCTTGACGGCCAGGGACGGAGATCAAAGCAGAGTTATTGACCTAAAAAAAAAACCAACTTACTTAAACTCTGATCTTAGGTAATATGTTACAGCTGTACACTGTACATTTCTACAGCGGCGGTACAAAAGCTTTCTGACATCAAGTCGTGATCTGGATTTGGCTAGGTTCTGTGAGAGACCCTTGGTATCCTGGTAGTCACCTCTCTGAAACACCGAGTCTGGATTCATGCGCTTGTCAGCCTAAATGGACCCTTACCTGCATCTGCGTAAATATCTGCAGTCTGTGACATTCCTCCAGGTTGGGTGCAAACGCTGCCATGGTGCTCTCCTCCACGCCGATGACTTGAACAATCTCCTGATCGCTCTCCATGCCCATGGCTTTGAAGACAGCCACGATGGGAATATCCTGACACACACCAAGACAGATTAATGACGGGTATGTCATAGTCCATGCGTTTTGGGGTGCTACATTCTGAAAATTCTTAAAATGAGGCATTTTTGTCACGTTATGAGGCACTTCAGACAAGTGAAAGAATGAGTTCTAAATTTTATCTTATGTGAAGCACAAAGTGAAAAAATATTTTTGGAAAATTGTCCACAGTACAGGGTGTAACATGTACTTTTTAATATGTATTGTTTTCCCTGTCATATGTCAGCATGGTCAGTGTTAACTCAAATGTGCACTATGATGATCAGTAACGCTCTGGAATAACACAATGAAGGGATTGCATTTCACATTTTATCACTGGTTCCTTGCCATATAAAAGGAACCATGACCAAGTACCAACTGCAAGGGGTCTATTGTTGTCTGTGGTCTATTGTGGTATGGTCCATGAAGTTTTTACACCCCAACAGGGGTAAATGGTACTAATGGCTTATGGCTGGGTATCATGGTCTCCTTGGAGGTGAAAACTGCCATGGAACACCCCACAGCAGGCAGCAATGGAGGTGTGGTAGAGATCGGCTCACCTCGGACATGGTGTTGTGCTTGAGGAAGTGACGTCCTTTCTTCAAGATGACGTTGGTTCGGCTCTTCTTCTCATGTGTGGAGCTGTAAAAAATAAGACAGGCCACATGGAAAGTGTGGCGTAGTGACAACCAGGTTTGGTGGAATGAACTTATGAGGCATAACGATAATGTCGTAGCTGTGCCGAATACCCGCTTATCTGAATATTCGATCGATTATCAAATATTCAAATATTAGTTTCCAAACTTGAATATTCCAATGCAAAATTCATGAAAAGGAAGGGAGAATTCTCTTTTGTTTTAAATGAGAAAAATTGCACTATGGAGGCTTGTTTCAAGAACATTTAAATGAAAAGAAACAGAAATCTTACAATGATTCCAAAAGTAAATTATTCGTTAAAAAATTTAAATGGAATAAAAATTTTCAATAGGACAACAAGTACAGCTCGTCTCTTAAAGTTTGCTAACTTGTGGCTGGAGATACTTCTAGACGTGAGAAGCTATCACTGTGATTATAATGTACAATTGTTTTCGTTATTGCAACTGATTCTGTATATAGTTTGTTCATCACCAATCTGCCGGTCGGTCCGACCTAATCTTTGGATATTCGATCAAATTGAAGGTCAAATATTCGAATGGTGAGTTATTCGAATTGACTCAGCCCTACATAAATCCAAAAGAAACAGCCAAGTACTATCCCGTACATACCTGGTGACGCTGCACGTGACACTGCCTTTCTTGGTAGATTCTACGATCATCCTGTTTTTAGACAACTGCTCCTGGATCAAGATGACCTTCTCGACTCCCTTGCAGATGAAGTAGCCGCCGGGGTCCAGCGGACACTCATTCAGCTTGGCCAGTTCGGCTGGGCTCTTACCGGTCAAGACGCAGTTGGAACTCCTCAGCATAATCGGCATTCTGCAATGACAAAACCATGAGCATCCAGGTGACGTTGAGACAAAGACATTGGTTTATAGAGCCAACATTAACCCTAACATTCCTTAATCCTTCACCTGTTGGAGGACTGAGGAGTGTTTGGGTTAAGGCTACTGTCTACCACTGTTGAAATCAAGACCATCATAAGACAAGTCACCAGGCAATTCACAAGACTAGACTCAAGATCAGACATAAGACAAGGCAGAAGATAAATTGACACAAGTCATAAGAGAGTGAACTCTGCCAAAGGAATGCACTCCTGGCCTTCTTTTTTAATAGCTTGTGACTTTAAAAGACCGTATTCACGGGAGACCCAATTTCAGTAGTATTCCTGAACACATTGTACACATTGGAAACCCTCAATGGGATGATACGTGGCAATTTTTAGAAGCAGATGACCTGTTAATTTTCCACAAACTCAAACAAGAAAGAAATTGGTGGAAGCACAAAATGGATTTGGTGAATCCACTCCATGAAAAATGAAATAGCAAATTAAACGGGTGCACGTGCATTACTACCACTGGTTGGCAAGTGCGGCCGCCAACGCTGTTTGCAGTCTAGGAGAGCTGTTGTAACCATAACCTGGCATGTTGAAGCTCAATCAAAACCCTATTACAGCCTTTGTCCAATACTTCAGCACGTTTTTCTCAAAACCAAGTGAAGTTTTCAGTTTCCTGAGATTGGAAAGTAACTATTTCTTGTCTTTAAGTTTGGCACTCACGTCAAACTATACTAGTACAGAAATGGCATGTATGTGCTCATAGTGACGCGCACATGGAGATTTGTATTGTTACGTCATAGATATAAGCAACTTTGCCAACCAGTGGCAGTGATGCGCATGCACCTGCCTTATTTGAATATTTCATGGGAAAGGTCCATTGGAATTAGCTCTGAAGTTGGACACACCTGCCTATAGGCAAGTTGTTTCTGATGACTCGCTGCGATCCTCTGGTATACTCCACATCTACTGTGATAGGTGCGGAGTAAGTCATGTCTCGCAGACGGCACTCATGGGGCGATATTGGCTTGGTGATGTTGAAGCTCTCCTCCACGTCTGGTGTTCCGACATAAATGTTAAGATACCTTGCAATAAAGAAAGTCATTTGTTATCTGTGAAGAGACTAAAGAAAGGTTGACTGTTTAGTTTTCACTTATTTAATGCTTCAAGAACTTTTAGGCAAAATGTGATAATTTGAGTTCATTTACATTACAATAAACTGTCCTTTTGAGGAAAACTCGGACACTCAACAATTCTACACGGTAGTTACAGAACCTAACACCAGTTCTTACCTGTATGCATATACGAATCCTTAACATTACTACAAAGAACTTACTTCATGTAGAAATTGGGATCTGCGTCACTCACTATCTTTTCATTGGCTGACATGATCTTCTTGATCTAAAATCGTACATATTCAATCAACATTCATAAGTCGTCAAAATACAAAATACTCAGATTTAAAAATCTTAAGTTTTCAAACCAACACTGCCTTGTTTATCAAGCATGATTCCTATGGCATTGAGTATACTTTGAAATACTTGGTGGACTTTCAAAGGACTAAATTCCATCATTGGAAGAAACATAAAGTTTTCAATAATATTACCTCTACATTGATGAAGTAATTGAAGGAATCGATATGTTGTCTGACCAAACCTCGCACCTTCAGAAATGCAGGGAGGAGCTTCCATTTTTCCTGTAAAAAACAATGTAATCCCAGATACATGTATCCAACTGCAGGTAGGAGAGGCATGACTTCTATATCTATCCACCGTGTACTTACCGCCAAAGATAAACGATTCTTGGAATAAGCTATTTTTCTCAGAATCTGATTAAACGTTGCCTTTTTTCCCGGTACCCTGTAGCTCCTCTCAGAAAGAGTACCAATACGGACACCACTTGACACTCTGTGCACAAACCCTATGAGACTGGTCTAACAAATTCTAAATGTTTTCTAAGTAATCAACTTGTTTTTTCCCTCCTAAAATGAACCTTTCTGGACATGGTTTTGCTTTCTGACGGCTAATAGGTCAATGTAGGGAACAATTACTGGCGTCCGTTTATGGGACTCTTTCCCACCCCTCGTTAAATTCAAATTTAAAAGTTTTGAAAATCTCAATTGCATTCAGCATTTTAGTCACCGAAGTAAGGCACAAAAAAGGATGAAAATTTAAAGAAACTTTGAATTTAGGCATTTCAGTCAACATTCAAACTCATTTTTGTGCACAAAATAATCACAATTTACTCTGCATTGGAAACGTACATGTATTTGTGGTCTTGAGAAAAGATGTTTTTTAGGCAAAAGGCCTATTTCATTTGGTCATGATAGGCCTATATTTCTTAGGCCAAAACCTTGGGAAGCCCTGGCCCAATTTAAACTTCAGGAAATTGTGATGGCTGATTTTTCTTTCTGATAAGCACTAGTCATTGCACAATTACGCACTGGGCCTAACATCAGCATCAGCAACAATTTGACAAAAGTCCGATCCTATCCTGCATGATTTGACAATAAGCAGATATCCTGCCATGCCTGCTAGCTGTGCACAGCGTGCTAAGCATGTGACACAGTGTCACACATGTCAGACAGTGTTATGTAGCCTACATTGAGCATTGAGATCGTTACCTCAACTGTTTTGATGGGTGCCGACAGTTTTCTAATATCACCATCAACAGATGGGCTTTCCTGTGTATCTACGCCCATGCTGATATAATCTGCAATAAAGCGAGGGACGTGTTCAACCGTGCGCTGACATCTTGGAAATCTTCGAATAATCATCCACCTTCAACAAGTGGTGGCGCTGTTCTTCCACTGAGTATTCCACAGACGTAGACATTTTATAAACGTTTCGTTGAACATCGGCCATCGTACATTTTCATCTAGTTTCAACGTACACGTTGCCGAGCAGTTCGTCAATATATAAAAATAACGCCTAACGTTTCACCGACTATAAAGACAAGGTAAAGCTAGAGGTAAAAACAACGTTGAGAGTGAGTACTTGTTTAACAACAAACAACCAGAGGCCTGTAAAAGCATGTGAAACTTTACCGTTTAACAATGTTTCTTACTATAACGTGTTTAACGCGCTTGCCCAATTTCCGGACCAGCTGGCGCGTGACTGAGCCCAAGGCCGTTTTCCAATACTCATCTCCGTCTCAGGCTTCGTTCCCAAAACGAATCCCCGATTGTGGGCCTGAAGCATTGAAATTACATTGTATATGTGATTGCCGAGTTTACGGTAACAGAGTACCTTCTTCAGGGCAAGCAGATTCAGTTTGCCCTGAAGAAGGTACTCAGTTACCAAAAGTTCGGCAATCACATATTTCAGAGCACTGATTTGATATTATATTCTTGTCACTGTAACTGATATAATTTGGTTATTGATCGATTTTCAAAGTCTTATCAAGATTATTTCACTGGTTCACTATTACCCCGATTCCTATTTTACTGTTCATAACTGAAATCATTTCAGACACGTTGACCTTGGACCATGAGCCTAGGTAAGAGTGATTCTATCGCTGCCATGGCATCGTTGGTTAGTTATGGAGGAGGAGACTCAGACCCTGACTCTGATGATGATAATGAAACTAAGACAGGCCAAGGTACCAGTCTCAGCAATATCATCGCTTATATTGTCATCGTTGCATTCAAATTTTTCACAATCTTTCTTCTTAAGTGCTCCGTTATTATTTCCCAAGGACTTTTCACTACACCTTTCTCTCTCTTATTATTCCAGTTTTCAGGATAAATTTTAAAGGAATTGGCCTTTTCATGAAATTCATCTTAAATTTTTTTTATCATGGTTGTTTCAAAGCCATTCCAGAGCTCCAAGTGGTTACAGTTTAACAAATTAGCTCCCAGTGCAGCCTCAATTTCTTCCAAATTCAGGTTAATTTTGTACAGTTATAATAGAGTATTTGGCAAAATTAATGATTCTGCGGTCAGTGATGAAGCTAAAGCCAAAGATGAAGCCAAGATGTGGAAGGTTTCCTGCCAATTTTAAAACTCTATTTCATATATATGCACTCTGAGGTTTCTGAACTGCTTGTCTTTGTTTGGTATATGTGAAGGCCTTGTAGAAGGGGAAGAGGCTGCCGACGTGGATATCATCAGTGACGACGAAATGCCGCAAGTCCAGGGATTGGCTAAGGTGAGTTGCCACAGAAGCCAGGTAATTCTAATACACTGCTTTCACAGGGAAGCCACGTTGGAATGCATTCCCAGAATGTCTCATATTCAGTGTACATGTAATCGATGGGGCGGTGCCAGACTATTTTGGGTTCGCACCTCACTTTTATTTTTTTGAAACTCTCGTTCAATTCAATATGGCCAACTTTTGATTAAGGCCAAGACCCAGATGAGTGGTCTTAAGATGGACCCAACAGCTGTGAAGACTTCTTGTTTTCACCCTTTGATGTGCCTGCAGGTTGCGGATGACACCTATTTGAATGCCTCAACCAATTCAGTGTCAGCTGTGGCATTTTCAGAAAGTATCCGCCGTTCCTGTAGCACAGACGAAGGAGACGTGAAACTACCTCCGGAGCCAACAGGAAGATGCTCCAAACATCTCCAGGTAATCACCCCAAGGCCCCAGTTTGACTGTTTCGAGTGGCGTTGAAGAACAAGCCTCCTAAGGGGGATCCATGGAGCATTCTATGGGCCTGTTTCTTTCACATGGACCTAGATATCAATCAGTAATCCATCCCTGGTTCACTGACACCAAAACCCACCTTATGGATGGGGCGAACCAGCATTGGGACCACTGCTTGAGATCCAGATGCATGTGAAACAGATAGGTCCTTTATTATGGCAGGTTAAGGTTGTGGCAGAGAGGCCACATTTATTTGCAGTGTATGATGGGACGAAGTCAGCATGCATGTGCCAAGTGGCAGATGGGAACTTGAGATTGGAATCCATTTTGGTTCCAAAGTCTGCATGTATGGAATGATCAATCATCTGCTTCTTGGACAACTGGTCTACGGAATGATCGTCTCATCGTCATAGTTTCCCCAAATGATACTCTGTTAATGTTTCCCGTACCTTGCAGGATAAAATTGCCAATTTCTACAAGAAACGCTTTAACCTGAACCAAATACAGACCCGTAAAGACTTCCGAAATCCCAGGTAAGCTGCGGCGAATCAGTATTAGGAGACTGAGAGACAAAAAACAGGGAAGGGCCAAGCGTATTGTCATGCTCAAGCCTGGTTGTCACCCCTTGACAGGGTTTCCCCTGCCCATTCAAGTGTGAGATATGCCACCTCACTGCTATTAATGAACACCTTGGGCTTTTCTGTTGAGTTTTACCACCTCACACTTAAAACAGATAAACGTGGAAGAAAAATGCAAAATAGTTTAGATATTTTGAAATGGATAAGTTTGGAATCATTCAGCTTGATAAAGAGGGACACAGAATTCAAGATCAATTCGTCTAAGGGGGGAAATTCAGAGTAAAAGAAAACACTCATTTCCCAAGGGGAAACCCTGCCTGTTGATGCTGTGATTTCATTCTGGTAACTGAAATGCCGCTTGAACAATGACAAGATTTTTTTCTCTGCTTCCCAACGTCAGTATTTATGAGAAGTTGATAAGCTACCTTCGCATTGACGAGCTGGGCAGCAACTACCCGACAGATGTGTTTAATCCCCACGGTTGGGATGAGAGTTCCTACTACGAAGCCCTGTGTAAGTGCTGGAACCGACTTGGATGAAACCGCAGTGCGACCACATGCGCGTGTACAAACTAACATTGGCACATTCAAAACCTTGTGTGAATTCTTGAAAAACTTCATTAAAATCAGAAAATTCATTATCTTAGCACCATGTGAAATTTGATGCACGGCGTTTTTGCACATACGTATACTTTCGAACCCTGTTAAGAGGTCTTTCAGACTTTGTAGAGTGCCTTGTTGTAACAGGAACCTTGTGTTATCTGGAATGAAACAATGAACATCAATGGATAGGGGCTTCAAAAATTCCTTGTTATAAGCTGTATGCTGTATTTACAATGCGGTACTTAACGAGGTTCAACTGTATGTATTTATAACACGCCTACCACCTTTGACCAATTCTGGCTTCGTAGTTGTGGGAACAACACACTTGTTGAATGACAGTTATTGTGAAGACAAAATCATTGTGGGAACAGTGAACAAATTGAAAGGTGAATGGTCTACCAATCATATTTTTTGTAACCTTACCTTTGTGGATTTACCGTTCAATGACCATGTTCATAGACCTTGCTCCCGCCTAACCAGATCCTCTTTGAGTGATCCCTGGTCACCACTCCCCAGGTTGTATCATGTTATTGGGATGTGATTCCTGGCTACATGGTGTTTCAGGTTTAATGTCTTCTGGCTAGCGCCCCCCGAACAGAGATATTGACAAATGGGAAGAACCACCAACATAGGGCTGGATAGCTCAGTTGGTAGAGCACTGGTACGGTGTTCCAGAGGTCACAGGTTCAAATCCCGCTCCAGTCAATTTCTTTGTTCATCTTTATAATCAGTTCAGTGTTTAACTGTGAATTGGTACTGGAAAAGTACCTGCTTATAGAACTGTAGGCACAGTACAGTGTGCAGAGTTGCCGTGGACACTTTTTTGTCTAGGCAAGGAGGGAGGAGAGAACCTCTGTGGGAAACCCCAGCGTGACCCCAGCATGACCCCAGCAAGTCCTGGGGTCGACCTGTTGTAACCAGTGCACTACAAGCCAGGGGGCTGTTGGTTCGAGTCCCGCCCGAGTGAACCTGGGCAGTTTTTCCAAAACGTCAGCGCAGAGAAGAGAATGAAAAAAAAAACACACATGCCAAAATTGAAATTTACCTCATCTGTACCGATCAACACGTTGCCCTTGCCATCCGCAGCTAAGGTGCAGAAGGAAGACATGGCCAAGAGGGAGAAAGAGAAGAAGGAACGCACCAAGGTGGAGTTCAAGATGGGCATGGTCAAGAAGACCACTCCAGTTCCTGCCATCTCTACTGTCACGACCTCTACAGGTGCCGCTACGACAGCGTCAAGTACCGCCGCTTCCCAACCTGCTACTACCTCAGCTGTACCCTTGCTATCAATAACGACCAGCCACTCGGCACCATCAGCTACATCAGGTATTCATGACTAGGGTTTTTTCAAACCATAAAAAAAGTGAAAAAAACGGCAAGAAATAGCATTAAACATGGCCAAATGCTAGGAATACTAACTCGGGTGTTATTTGGAAATCAAATGTATCTAACTACAACGTCATATTTTGTTACACTCTGCGACACTGCCACAGAGAGGCGTTATCATTTTGAGTGTCTTTTTACTGTTATTTGCATTATAATGTCACGTTTTGTTTCTGACAAGATACATAGCTAGATGTATGCCCGTTCAAACCTGTTAGACAGGCCGATTTCTCCTTGAAAGTATCAGCAAAAGAGTTCTTACTCTTTCCACTGGCCATGTTGTAAAAATCCTCCTCCCTGTGATTGTACCGATTTGTATCAATCCATCCGCAGATGAACCAGAACGGAAGCGCAAGTCAAAATGGGGCGTGGTCCCCCAGGACTCCATCAGGCCTCTACTGCCACTCCCTACTCCCATCCAGTCGTTCCCGATTGCCATGGTAACCAGGCCTCAAGTCAACATGATGAGTGCCTTAGTGACCAACCCCGTCTCCTTGCCTCCCATGATGCCCGCATCATCGGTCGCCAAGACGACTGTCATCCCCTCTGTAGGTGTGTTGAAAAAACCAAAGATGGAGAAGTGATAGTGCATCGCTTTGTAGCAAAAGACATTAAAGCGGAGACTGTCTGGTATCACGCCTCCTCTAACCATCAATTTGCATGATCCTGTCTCTTGTCAACTAATGAGGATGAGATCACAGAATGATGGTCCGTCACCTGGCCAGGTTTTTAGGTAGCCTTTGAAAAACCTGGTGTCCATTTTTCTCCTCAAGTTCAAAAGCAGTGTCTGAGTTGGAGAAGTTGTAAGCTTTCCTGAATTCCCCCAAAGGTTGTTCAATATAGCCCACAGGGTACCTGAAAGTTCGCCAGATGGGAAATCTGTGATCATTTTGTCGGGGCATTGATATCAACGTCAGCGCAGCGTGCAGTTTTGGTTAGTTTTTGTTTCTGTCAAGTTAAGTTCACTGCAAGAAAGGACCATGTTTCTATTTGTTGTGTAGTAAAATGATCAAAGTATTTGATTGTACGTTGGTTTGATTGTACTCGCCTCATTTTTTTGGTGTCTACTGATGAAATACCTCCTGCTCTATATGAGACAAGTTCAAGCGACAACTAGAGTTACCCGTAGTTTGACCAACGTCTCTCTTGACCATGTACGGATGATCCATTTGGAACTAGGACCTGGGGCAGTATTACATCGCAGGTTATCAATAGTCTGTTGGATATTGAAGTTCAAAGGGTGGTGATATCAACGTAATGAGTGAATTTGGTATTCAGTTCAGCCCCAAATTAAGCTTGTCAGAGGTTATCTGGATACATCAGTACGCCCCAGTGGTGTATTCGGGGGTGGGGGGTGGAATTGCCTCCCCCAACGGATATTTGAGTAAGGCTCTTGACAATTTTCTCTCCCCGAACATGTTGAATA